TAAATAATAAAGTTGAATTAGGCAGTGTGTCAATTATTCATTAATTTGACCAAAATGTCAAGTTTACAAACAAGCACATAGCAATTATAACACTACACACTACAGTAATTATTCGTAGAAGTCTAATGAAGATAAGCCCTGTCTCTTATACACATCTAGACGTTAAAGGGTCGAAACCAGGACATAACTCCGACTTTAGATTGACAATGATTGAAAAATGTTAAATACAGGCACAATGTATACATCCTATGTACAGAGTCCAGTTAGAATATGTAACTAGATTTGAACTCGTCACTGAGGACGAGTTAGGTGATCCGCCACACTTTCACCCTCACGAAGCACGCACGTTTCTGATTGAAAAGTATATGCTAAAACATGCTCTATTTATAGAGTAATTTTGAGCATTTTAATAGGAATTTTAAAGGAAAAGAGTAATTTTGAGCATTTTTGGTGATCCGCTAACGTTAGCGGATCACCTATTGTTATTGTCAGGATCATCTTTTTTTATTCTTTCTTTCTCCCCTTTTCTGTTCGCACGATATCTCAAAATTGCCACGAGTTACGCACACGGTCGCTACATCGATCATTTTGTCTTCGCCTGGAATAGTCATGGTAAGGTTTTTAACGCGCTCAGACATGCGTGACGTCATCTACGTGGAATTTTGCGTTTCTACATTATCGATCATATCAGCCTAACCAATTGCCATTTTGAAATCGTATTAAGTGAGCATTAACTTTGGGTTAATGTTGAATGTACTGTACCCTAATTTTACTCGTGCGCTTATTAACGCGCGCGCACGCATGCGTCAAAATTTCAAAATGCTCGAAATTACTTTTTGACTAAATTAGAGCACGTTTCATGCCATTTTCAGCATTTCAAAATTTCTCATAATTTTCAACTACGCGCGCGCACTTTTACTTGCGCAGTACGTATGGAAGTTAGAAATTAGGTTTTTTTTACATATTTTGGGTTCCTGAAAATGTTTTCACAAATTTGCATTCTTTTCGGTCATCTTCTGGCCAATAGCAATGCCGTACGTGCGCATTAAACATAGGTATCTGCGCGTATTTGTGCCGCTATACAGTGATATTATGCTAAAATCAGACCTATTTTTAAACAGTTATAGCTCCTTAGGTTGAAAGGTGACCCCCAATTTTTATTACATATTCTGAAAGCACATAAGTTGTAAATATGATTTTATAGATCATAATGGCTGATCGGACATTGTGACGTCATCATATCGGCATCTGAATTCAAAGAAAGTGAATTAAAGCTATGTCGTCATTTTTGAAAATAGGCATTTGAGCGTATCCCGCTTATCCTTGGTCGATCGTCTTCCAACTTATGTTATACTCGCTTATCTTGATTGATTGTCTCCCACCTGTGAGTATGTTATAGCTAAATCAATTCTCTTTCGGACGTGTCTCTTTATTTTTCATTTTGATCACGCCATCATGGTCAAAAAGAATAAATTTTTGGAGCCCTTTTATCTCTCATTCTTAAAAGATGTACACAAATAGAACAGAGTCAACATTTACCTGTCTCTTATACACATCTAGATGTCTATCAGACAAATATATATAGGTTATATGAAGGGAAAGTTCGTGTGGCATTACTGACTAACAGGCGGTTTTAAATACACTTGACAATGTTTAATTTCGTGTGCTATTACTGTACACGCACACATGGTGACGTGCGTGTCTGTTAAAATTTGAAGATTCTCGATATTACTATTCAGATAGTTTAAAGAACATTTCGGGTCATTTTCGGCATTTCAAAACTTTCCATAATTTACCCGCCGTACCTTCATTTCCACGCACACAGCACATACTATAGCTGGAAATTACGCGTTGTTACATATTTTGTGTTCCTGACAGAGTCAGGAGTCACTCTTTGTGACATTTTCGTGCTCACGGGCGTCAAGACGTGCGTGTACGCATGCGCAAGTCTTTTAAAATGCTCAAAATTATTCTTTTTTTAAAACTAATTACAGCATATGTTAGCATATTATGAAACTTTTCAATCAGCACCGCGCGCGCTTCCTGAGGATCAAAGTACGGCGGATCACCGAATTCGTCCTCAGTGACGAGTTCAAATCTAGTTTTTATTCTTTCTTTCTCCCCTTTTCTGTTCGCACGATATCTCAAAAACTGCCACGAGTTACGAACAATCGCTGTCAGCGAACATTTGGCTTGGTCTGGAATAGTCATGGTAAGCTTTTCAACGCGCTCAGTCATGCGTGACGTCATCTACGCGCAATTTTGCGTTTTTAAATTATCAATAATATCAGCCTAACCAATTGCCATTTCGAAATCGTATTAAGTGAGCATTAACTTCGGGTTAATGTTGAATGTACTGTACCTTAATTTGACGCGTGCGCTTCACTACGCGAGCGTACGCGTGCGTCAAAATTTCAAAATGCTCAAAATTACTTTTTGACTAAACTAGAGCACGTTTTAGGCCATTTTGAGCATTTCAATTTTTTTTTAAATTTTCCACTACGCGCGCGCATTTTTATGTGCGCAGCACGTACGAAAGCTAGAAATTACGTTATTTTACACATTTTGGGTTCCTGACATTG